GACCTTTAGAAATCTTAACATTAAATATCATTAGGGATACCAGCTTGTCCTTCAAGAAGAAGGTTCATAGAAAGGCTACAACTGTGGGACACTTCAATCTCGACTTCCCGAGGCAGCATTCCTAGTTATATTATCACTAGGGATAGATTTAAATAGGAAATGAGTAGATGGGCATGTCCATTTCTCTCCATTTATTTTTGTAATTTCTGAGTTTATTCATCCCATTTAATGGAATTTAACTTCATCAAAAGAAAGAGAGAGAGCACATTCTAGATATTGGAGTTGCTCTTTGGTGATTGAGGGTAAAGACTAAGGGAAAAAAGAGAAGGATGAAAAGAGAAGCCATATTTAACATCGTGAATGTCTAGGATTTTCTTTATGTAGTCATGGATTTTGGTGGATCCATGTATGAATCTACTTAACAATCATGACAATAATTGTATAGGGCTATATGTAAAACATCTTCTCTTCTTCTTTCTTCATCGTCCACATGACAACCTTATGCAACATTTTCAACAACTTCTCCAGTGAGCTCTAGGGATGCCTAGGCTTCTAGGTGCTCATGACCAGTAAATTAATGATTTGGTGCCTTACCATTCTTTTATTAATAGAGTATTTTTGTAAGTAATTTTTCTGTTTTGCATGTTTTTGTTATTTGAATTTTTATCTATTTTTAGGAAAATACTTTTTTTAGGATTAAAGTTTCATAGAAATGAAAAACACTTATAGGCCTGCCAGAATTGAGAATAGTAGAATACTAGTTTGGGGATGTGATGCTCAATTTTCCTTCATCCTTATAGGCTTATACAGTACTGTCCCACCCCACTTACGTAGTAGGTTTGAGAAGTCTCGAGGTGTTGGATTCCCATGAAATGAAAGCATTGAGCTTCTTGTGGGATCTCATACTTAAGTGAATATGAGTGTATCAATGGCTTGTTTTCTTTTCTGGTTTATATTGAAAAAATCTATAAATTTTATTTGTAATGAATTTAGTTTATGCGTCACAACTTACAAATACCACAAACTATAAAGAAAGTTAGTTATTTACTTATTTCCAATAATTGACAAATGCATGTAGATCACAATATCACGTTAGGAAATTAAACATTGCCTGCAAGCCATCAAACTCTTGAGACTCTAAAAAATTGTATAGGGATAGATCAGTTTTCTTTTATTTTACCTCGGACAGTGCTTTTTCATCTCCCATAATTTTTTTATAATATATGGCTATACTTTTTTCATTTCTAATGAAAATTCAATTTCATCTATATTTGGCATTTAAGCTGGGTAGTCAATTTTTTTTGGAAGAATTGAATTAATTAATTACATAGAATTTTGAAGAAATATGTTCAAACTTCAAACACAAAGATCATTATTTTTAATTGAATTAATTATAAGTATCTGAAATTGTGATTTTTTTATAAACTTTCTTATTTGATTTCTCATATTGGATTGATTACTTTTGCTATATCTTGAATATAATTAAGATTTCCCATATAGAGACTTCGATGCAGATGCAACTTCCATGCTTTGCGATTTGTTACTAAAATACAAGATGCCAGTGTTTTACTTCTGCAAAGAATGCGTAAGCATTTATTGAATACAGGACCACTGGAACGTAATTTGATTAATCAATTTTCACCACAATTTTATTCCAATGGAAAAGATGGTCACCAGAATAAATCTTCTAGATTCTTAGCTATCCATCTGAGGTTTGAAATTGATATGGCTGCATATTCTTTATGTTACTTTGGCGGTGGCAAAGAGGAGGAAATGGAATTGGAAGCCTATAGGGAAATCTATTTCCCAGCTATGGTAAAACTAAAGCAAAACCGAAAGTAAGTTTTTCATTTTTTATTATTTTCTGAAATCTGGTCATTCTAATTATGAAATAAATAAAATAAAATAAAATAAAATAAAGGAACACACTAGGTCTCAGCAGAGAACACTTGCTAACATTAAATCAGTGTGATCTGATCTAGTTGCTCCCCTGGATTGATCAGTAATTCCACCAGAATTGCACTCTCTAATCTAGATTTGGATTTAAATCTCTCACATACGAATTGAATAGCAAAATGAGAGAGAAAGTGAGAACAACAGATTTATAATTACACACTTCTACCTAAATTGGTGTACGTCCACTGTAATTTTTGATGTATTGATGGTAGCTAACCGCCTAACCCATTACAAAAATAGATGCATTGTTTTCAGTTTTCACACTACTTAGGTATATATATAGTGAGTGATTTGAACTGGACTTCGAGATAATGATTCCATAATTGGCCCAATAACGGGTATCAATTAACTAAACAGTCTCTACTCTCTACTTATACTTCCCTAGTAACATAAACTCCAACGGTGTACCCAGTTACCCCCAATATCTATCAATCTTGACGAGCACACTAAGTTCACCCCACAAGCAGGTGACAATAAAGTCCGATACTTCTCAGTTCTCTAGATGAATGGAATGGTTAATGGTCAGCCAATGTTGTCATTGTTATGAGTTCCTGTTTCAATCAGCTATGTAAGCTAATTTTCTGATTCGAATTTTGTTTTATAGTCTAGTCACCAAGATTAAAAATAGAGATCTATCATAAACTTAAATGAGACAATAGTTTCTTCTGGCTGTACAATATTTTATTGTTTTCTTCAGCATAGTTGCATAACATGATATTTGATCCTTCAATAACATCCATCATCTGACCTAAATCCCTTGTTCATTTATTTTGGAAATGTAAATATTTGAGCAAGATAACAAAAAAGAGAATTTGAGCACTAAAAGGATTTCAAATGCACATATAATCCAAATCCTACGACTTATTTAAGTTTCTGCTATTTTGGAGTACGGATTTCCTGTTTGCACTTTGTGAAACAAACAAACAAACATCCTACTGTTTATTCCATTGTATTATTATATTCTTCTATTTGAAATATATTTTATGTTTTATTGCTATGCTTTTTTCATCATTTGAATAGTAGTCAGTAACTTATGTTCAATTGTTAATCACATAATCGTGATGCATTTTGCACTGTTTCCATTTCTATTTATATTTTTCAAATATTATCTCAATATTTTGTCATTATCATTAATTACTCAATTTAAATTAACTTGTTTTCACCTTCCTCATATTTATATAAATACAAACTCTTTATTATTTAGGATGCCTTCAGCTTCCCTTCTGAGGTCTGAAGGGCAATGCCCTCTCACTCCAGAAGAATCAATTCTTATGATTGCTGCCCTTGGCTTCAAACGCAAAACCATGATTTATGTTGCTGGTGCCCATGTATATGGAGGAAAGTCAAGAATGGTCGCTTTGCATAGTTTGTACCCTAATATAGTAACCAAAGAGACACTTCTTTCTTCACAAGAAATCGAGCCATTCATGAATCATACATCTCAGGTACTTTTCTCTCCTGGATTCAACACATAATAACTATAACGGTCTTATAACTGTTACACTGATATTTTATCATCTCAGTCTCTGAGGAAATTTTATTTTTCTTATTTGTAAACTGCAAAAAAAAGATACCATTATATACCTCCAAAACTAGATAATTGTAAAAAATGCTAGAATTTTTTATAAATATTTAGTTTAAACCTAAAAATACATCTGAATTCATCCACAGTTGAAAGTTGTCTACTAATCTAGTGTGTAGATGATTAAATTACAATAAATTAATGACAGTAATTAAACATTTTATGATTTAATAACGATCATCTAAATTATTTTGCCATCTAATGTTGATCATGGGACGTCCTTTGAGTTGGTTTGTAGCTTATTTTGGCTATATACATTAGAATGTTTGGGAACGATTAAGAATTATTTTCCATTTGAATTCATCCACAGTTGAAAGTCGTCTACTAATCTAGTGTGTAGATAATTAAATTACAATAAATTAATGACAGTAATTAAACATTTTGTGATTTAATAACGATCATCTAAATTATTTTGCCATTTAATGTTGATCATGGGACGTCCTTTGAGTTGGTTTGTAGCTTATTTTGGCTATATACATTAGAATGTTTGGGAACGATTAAGAATTATTTTCCATTTGCAGTTAGCTGCTCTGGACTTCATAGCATGTGCAGCTGCTGATGCATTTTCTATGACCGATTCAGGAAGCCAGTTTTCTGCACTTGTTTCAGGTTATCGTATGTATTACGGCAGAGGGAAACTTCCAACCATTCGTCCGAATAAACGGCGTATTGCTACTATTTTCGCAAAGAATTCCACAATCCAATGGCATGACTTTGAGAAAAGAATACGGAAATCCGTGAGGCAGAACAAAAGAGTTATCGAAAGACCAGTTGCAAGGAGTGTTTACCGACATCCAAGGTGCCGGGCATGTATGTGTAAAATTGAATAGAATTTGCATATACAGTGAAGCACTGGAGCAAAATTATAGAAGCTTGGAAGAAGAATTTTTTTATAAATCAAGAGTATGTTTTTTATTTTTAAATGATAACTTAAGCGATCGTATAATAATATATTGCAATAAGCATTGGATTCTATTCTTGATGCACTACCTCATTTAGTCATTTTCAATTTACATTGTTGTTTAAAAATTAGAATGAGTTTTTTTTGTTTTCAAACATGCGACCATTTCAGTTGTAACCGATATATATTATGTGAATCGTATATTTTTTTGAAAACAATTAAATTTCATTATAAAAAATCAAAGCAATGCCCAAATTTCATATAGTATAGAAATATAAAACAAAATTAAAAAAAATGAACAAAAAACTTATTGACTCTCTTTCATTAACTATGTAGTATAATTATATAGTAATTAGATATGTTGTCTTAAGAGATTGGTCTTCCATACGTTGACTCTGGTATATTATTCGGAGGTATATATGCTCATAGGGTGTCAAACGAGCCGAGCTTTTGCTTATAGAGCCAGGTTCGGGCTCGTTAAGGAGTTATTCGGGCTCGGCTCGTTTTAAGAATTGCCAGACTCGTTTTAAAAACTTAACATACAGGTTAAAAGAAATAATTTGGAGACATGAGGGATTGAACCTGTGATCTCTTGCATGCTAAACAAACGTTTTACTATTTATGCTATATCTTCATTTTCTCTAAATATAATTTGTTTATTATTACTTTTTTATACTTCTTACCGAGCCAAACTCGAGCGCTTGAGGTGGCTTGGGCTCGGCTCGTTGAGCTCACGAGCCCGAGCTTAACGAGCCGAGCCCATCGAGTCGAGCTTTACTTGACACCCTATATGCTCATGGTTCCGGATGTGCGATTACGCTTTGGAAAGGTGCCCTAATGTGTATCTGGGTCAGATCCAGTATGATTTAATTAAAAATACAAAAATAACCTTCACCCCATCTGGGTCGGCCCTGACTTTTAAACGTTTCAAGTGAAATATCTTGTGAGATATTAATATAGACCGTTGATTTATTTTAAATATATTTTTTTGAAACAATTAAATTTCATTAAAAAAAAGAGTTAATGTCCAATTTACAAAAAATAGAGTATAGAAATAGAAACAGAAGTAAAAAGAAATGAGTAAAAAATTCATTGAATCTCTTCCATTAGCTATGTAGTTTAGTTATCAAGTAATTAGATACGCTGCCTCAAGAGGTTGGTCTCCTTATACTTCCATCATAAATGTCTCCAAAGGGTGACAATAACTCTTTTTGTAACACTCTGAATCAAATGAGAGACTGATGTCCTTAACGACCTCTTTAAGAACTACCTCAGAAAGCCTTTTAACGTGTTTTCTATATCTTTTATTTCTTTCCGTCCATATATGCCATAACAAGCACTCAATGACATTCCATAGTAGCTCCCAAAGGGAAGAGTGGTGCGTAATTCTTGGATCCCCCAATCTAATATTTGGACTGGATTGGGTGAGAACTGAAATATTCATTATTTTTCAAAAGGCGAGATTCAAATGCTCCGTCAACGGAATTAAGAGAGATTTGAAATAAGAACAGTTAAAGAAAAGATGACTTCTAATTTCATCTTTCAGATTGCATAGCAAACAAACATGAGGTACTTGTACTTTATTTTAAATATATCACTGGCGCGAATATGTGCTTAAAACGTTCCTAATGGTGAACGAAATCTAATGAAACCCAAAACAACAAATCAATAAAAAACAAAAATTTAAAACATCAGGGGGTTATTGAAATTTACCTATATCGATGAATTGAAATATAAAAAAAAAACCATTCTTTAGGGGGGTTATTGAAATGTACCTTGATAACTCAAAATCTCCACAAAATAAAACCCATCGGCCGTCTCAGAATCGCCGCCAAAATATTCCCGACGGAAAACCCTACTTTGTGTAGTTCTTGAGCGGCTACCTAAATCGGGAGTTCTTCACTTCTTTAGATCTTCTTTCTGTAGAATTTGTAGCATATAACTATGTAGGTTCTTCGCTTCCTTTTCTTCTTCTTCTTCTTTTTCATCTTCATCTTTTTTGTTTGTTTAATAACTGGGTAACTTTTATTCAGAATTTGATGCTCAGTTGACAAGGGAAGAAATAAGAATCAATTCAAAGTATCAAATACTCAATTGACAATTGACACCAACACAGTTAAGCTTGATTTCATTATTTTATTATTTGCAGTTCAGATCTTAAATTCTTAATCACAGTGTCATAGTTAGTTTCAAATATTCTTTTATAGTTCGTTATTTGAATTTTCTTTTCTTTACTTGATCTTTTCATTATTTGATCTTCAACTGCTCATATTAAATAGTTCATGGTATTTGTTTGTTTAATTTCTCAATAAACATCTAATGCTGCAACCAATCAGCCTGGTGAACTAATACTTAGCCCATTGTTCATACTCAATTTCTAATAATTAATTAGTGTTGAATTACTGAATGGCAATGCATCGTTTACACTCAATGATGAAAAGAAGAATGAAAAGCTCATTTTTCATAAGTTTTTCTTAGTTTGTATTTGAATCTGACTATGTTTTCTTTTGAATTTTGTATATGACTTCGACTTTGTTCAGGATTCGTCAAAATCCAAGATCCACCACTGCCTGTTACAATCCCAGTTTGAATTTTTATTTAGATTCTAGATATAAAATTTGTAATAAATATAATAAGGGAGATGGTGTTGGGTGTTTAAATCTACTTTAGGGGGTGCACATGATGTATGTTTAAACTTGAAATATCTTCAATACTCGAAAGCATGATTTTATGAAAAAAGAAACGAATATTTTCTGGATAATGGTGCTAACTATTAATCCTAAACTAATGGGTGATGGCATTAGGTAATAGGTATTAACTGTTATAAAGTGTTTCTGTGCGTGGAGGAGATCCATATATATATGAAAAAAAACTCATTTGGTTGATTCCACCACTTTTCTCTCATTTGCTAGGATTTTTCATCTCACCAAATCCCGAGGTCTGAGGGTGATATTTTACGAGATCAAAAAAATCATGCATGTAATGGGCGCCGAATCGAAGAAGCGTAGTAAACCTTCAAATTCCGACGAAGATAAAAACTTTGAAGGCGAAGGTGATGGCTTAATAATGTCTAAAAAACCGAGGACAATGTCTCCTTCTAAGTCCATTCTTCCTCTCACATCCTACGGTGAGGATGATCAAAGTGAGGAATCAGGGGAAGTGAAAGTAGAGAATGAGGCTGAATCAAGTGATGACAAGGAGATGGATTTTGTCAGGAAACAACGTCAGGTGGAAGTCAGGAAGGACTGTCCTTATCTTGATACTGTCAATCGCCAGGTACATTACATTGTTGTTTGTTTTGATTTTTGGGTTGACTTTGTTCATTTTTCTTTGGACTCATATTTGTAAGAACAAAAAAATACTACCAATTGGTTGGAAATTTGATCAGATGTTTTAACTAATATATACTATGCTACCCCATATATATAGCATACCTATATTTTTGTGCATACTCCATACTTTTTTTTATCCACTCATCATTTCTCATTTCTTACAAACTCAATAATGACAATCTCTTTGTCATTTTTTTAGTTGGTTTAAATTTTTTAATTTTTATTCTGTGTTCTGAATTCTTCATGCAGGTTTTGGATTTCGATTTTGAAAAGTTCTGTTCAGTCTCTCTATCAAATTTAAATGTGTATGCATGCTTAGTATGTGGGATATTATCAAGGCAGAGGTCGAAATTCTCATGCATATACACACAGTCTTGAAGCAGGTCACCATGTATATATCAATCTTCGGATGGAAAGAGTTTATTGTCTTCCCGATGGATATGAAATCAATGATCCATCATTAGATGATATTCGACATGTTTTAAATCCTAGGTTTGTGCATTTCTAAGACCCTAAGTATTTTGCACGTTTCTAATTTTAATTTTGAAAGTATTTGTTTCTGTTGAGTATTTAGCCACAATAATTTAGGCTTGCTATGCTTACCTTTTAGTTTAGCATCATTAAAAATACTGTTTGCAATCATTATGAATGAAGGATGAAGCAAAATAAATGATTATGTCACTTGTTTAATATAGTAACTCTCGTGTAATTTGAAATCAATGAATGCCATGTATTAATGAGAACAGTAGGCATATTTATGGGAAATGGGGGAGATCAAATGATCGATCCCTCCTAAACTGTTATTAATCACTCTATATACAATTTAGAGAGATTAGATCTTAACAGAATCATACTAACAGATTCTGTTAAGTTTTATCCATTAGAAGATTCTAGAACTAAACCATTATCTAGCTAATTAAACTCTTAAAGAGGCATTTTCTGACTTTGGAGAAGTGACAGAGGGTAGGTGAAGTGAATTTGTATCTTTTATAGCTCATTTTGGTTGCACAACTTACCAATCACACATTGCCAAAATCCAATTTTCTACAACTATTCTTCCATCCAAGATTGGAAGAATAGTTTATTTTTCAATTTACTGTCCACATTGATCAATTGCTCTCAAGAAATTTACTGTCCAGATTGGAAGAATAAGTCTCCTCAGGAAATTTTTGATGCTCTCAAGAATCAAACTGTGGATTTGGTTTTCACTGCCCATCCAACTCAGGCAATCCGTAGATCATTGCTTCAGAAACATGCAAGGTTTCGTCGTTCACATTTCCAAATAATGTCCTGTTTTTTCAGTATACTAAGATTTCATTTATGGTTTGATTATCAGGATCAGGAATTGTCTGTCTCAGTTAACTGCAAAGGATATCACTCTTGATGAAAAACAGGAGCTTAATGAAGCCCTTCAAAGAGAGGTCTTTTTTTGTTTTTAATGTCAACCCACTATCTAATTAATCATGCCCTTAATTATCAATTGGACCAGAGGTGATGAACTTACCTGGAAGATGCTTGACGGCGGACAGGAGTGAACAAGAAGTTGTACGTTCGTCGGAAGAATGGAGTGATCGATCGTCGCCGGACTGGAGTGTTAACTAGCCGCTGGTCGTCGCCGGACTGGAGTTTTAACTAGCCGCTGGTCGTCGCTCGCCGGTATAGACGCGCCGATGGTTACTCGTCAGAAATCGAAGTAAGAATCGCCGGAGATGGGAGTGGGAGAAAAACAAGATCGCCGGAGGGAAATCGATTTGGGTTTTGGGGGGAAATCGATTTGGGGGGGGGGGGAATAACATTACTTTTGGGAAATTTATATTTTTGGGAAATAATATATACTTAATTTAACTAAATTTATACTTTTGGGAAATAACTATAAAATAAAATTTAAAATCTTTTGGGAAATAACTTTAAAATGATATTACAATTTAACTTAGTTTAAAATTTAAAAGTTAATATTACAATTTATTAAAATCACTAGTTGTAATTAATTTTTAATAATTTAAAAAAAATCACTAGTTGTTAATTTTTTATTTTTTAGGATTTATAATTTAAAATAACTTTAATTTATAACTTCTTCTATTTTTTTAATGTAAAATAAACTTATTTTATAAGTTTTAAAATATTTAATTTATTAAATTGATTTTTTATTTTTAAGATTTATAATTTAAAATAACTTTTATAATTGAAATTTTAACTTTAAAAATGAAAATACCTTCTTTAATTTAAATTTATTTTTTAACTTTAAAATTTAAAGTATCTAAAATAACTTCAATTTATAATTTTTATAATTTAAATTTTTATA